CATCAGTCAACACAACAGCTTGACTGCCTCCAAAGGTGGCATAGAGCTGCACAAAGCATGCTCAGGGAGTAGGCAGCTTGTCCCTGTGACTTGACTTCACGAGCCACCAGTCTTGACCGATAGTTTTCATGAACGTCGTCATCCTTGTTGCCATCCACCCACTTTAACGTGATAGGAGGACGTCCAGTCGCCTGCCAACATTCAATTTCGTGTAGACATTTTGTTCCTTCACCCATTCCAACTCCAGTGAATGGGCAATTGCGACTTTCTTAGGATCCAGTTCGGCACGTGTGTTGGCATCAATAACCGGCGTCTTCACATACAGATCACTGGACCTTTGGCAGCACCAACTGCGCTCGGACACCCTTGGCGATGGCTTGCACCAGCTTTGGAGTCTGCTACGTGCGCCCAAGACTTCGCACCCTTGAAGTAGTGCTGCTGTTGTCCCACTTGGTACCTGTAGGCTTCAACGCAGGCTCTCACTTGTTTTCTCCCTGCTTCCAGCACTTCTTTCTCCGTTTCCTTCTTCGCCTTCTGGAGGGAGTTGTAGCTTCTTTGTACTCCCGCAAACGGTCCATCAGGCGGCAATCCCACCATGAGCGTTGGCTTCCCCACTTCAGGCTTCTTGAACAGGGACTCCACCTCGTCCTGCTTCTGAAGCTACCAGCCACAGCCCTTCGTTCAAAAGGGACAGACGCCTTGACGTCCACGCTTAGCAAACCGACCAGGCTGGATCTGTCAAGCGGTGCGCCTGCCTCTTCTTCGGCAGCGACCCCGCCTTCAGCAGGTTGACCTTCCAAGGCCGGCTCGCCGTCTTCTTCTGATGAGTCCTTATGGAGTTTCAGAGCCATTCGCGCTGCAATTGATCACAATCGCGAACGGCTCTTTCGCAGTCACCATCTGCAACGCCGATGATAGTTCTGTAGACTTCTCAAACAGGTTCGGTACACGATCTCATCGGCTCGATCGCCACAAGCTTCGGTAAGCTCGTCAGACGATACGCTCTTCTCGCGTTCTTCACACCATTCCAGAACATCACGTAGCTCTGGATAGATGTAACATACACACGCTGACACGCTGTGTCTCCGCAGAAGATATTGTTCAGCATCTCCCGAAAACGTACTTGGCTTTCCATGCCCCTTGGCGTCTACCAGCACCATCTTTCCTTTCTGACTTGATGAACTTTTCATTGCCTCCACCAGTTCTTTGTTTTGGCCTTTCAATGCTTCCTGCAACGCTTGTCCCATCTCGCGGACAACATTCGGTATCGAGCCCAACTGCCCTCGCGCACTTAAGGCTGCCTGCATAGCCTCATTCACTCTTTGTTGACTCTCTGTTCTCACTTGCTCCAAGTCCTGCCGGCGCTGCTGCGCTTGGCGTGTGAGCTCTTGCCTCAACGCCGCTAGTTCTTGCACCAGTTGCTCTGGCGTCGCCATGTTTTTCGGGAGGCCCAAGGCAAAGCGTGCTCGGAGAGCGGCTAGTTGCGCTCACAGTTGGCTGTCAGTCTGTGCCCACTCGTAAATGCAAAATCTGACAGCAAACAGAAAGATTAAGATTAAGGCTGAGGAGCCGACCACCATTCTTCAGCAAACCTAACCCTTTGTGAAGTTCGGCTGCAGCGTTCATTACGAAGCCAAGCCTTACGGACACGCCGCTTCCTACCTATGCACAACAGGACGGCGCATTTCGCTGAGGCTCTCAAGGCAGACCAGCTCACTGGATCAAGGATCGTGTCACACAGTTCACTCGGCAAGCTCACGTTAGCTCCCAAGAAGCATTCCTTGATAAAGTGACGCAGCGTCTCAGCTCGTAGCATCCGATGCTTTACGCAAAACAAGCAGCAGTTGCGCGGCGATACCATTGCTGCCGATACTGACGCATCACCAGCATGCAATCTTTGACCACCTGTAAAGAGCCTCAACGCAAGCAGCGACAGGTTCACAGTGACAGAGACTTTCGACATCTCAAAGAGCGATAGGATTGCATGTTGTGAAGCAGCGTCAGCAACGCTTGGATGAGATTGCAGCGCGCAGAGCAGGAATCAAAAACGTATCGTCGCCCAAGCATCTTGCAAGTCTCTTTGTGTCTCTGCATGTCCCGAGCCCACGCGGGGCCTGACGGAGGCATTCGAATACTTGACGCAAGTCCAAGTTGACCTGATGAGCCCACAGTTGAGGCTTGGTAAGCCTCGCGAGGCTTTCCGCAACAAAATTGCATAGACCAGGGAAGCGCGTCCCCCTGAAGCTCATGGCCAGAATCTGGAAGCTGTAATAAGCCGGGGGGGGTCACCCAAGAGCGGGGAGGGAGGGAGGGGGCTCAGAAAAAACGGAAGGGTCGAGAAAAGACAAAGGGGCGCAAACAAAGTGGGGGGACCTTCAACACCCACCTTCAACCATATGAAGCCCAACCCTGCGTCTGTTGAATCCGGCGGTGGGCACGGGCATATTCGACGAAAACGACGGGCCCTGATGGTTTTGCGGCGTCGCTAGAAGACATGAAGAAATGCCTCCCGCTTGCCAATTATCGCCGGCCCGAAACTCTTCCGGAGACAGCCCGGAACAGGCGCACTGGCAGCGTTTGAGCCGACATTCCTGTTGGCCTTATCGGCTAGCCCTACGCAGCCTAAGCATGCGCGTGACACGCAGTGCACCTTGCATCTGCACATGAACAAAACCCTACAAAAATCACCGCTAAATCCGCTAAACCATGTGAAGCCCCAGGTCTCTCAGTCTGCAGAGCGAACAATCAGAAGTTTAGGATAGCATCGGATAGCACATGGTGGGGCCGTTTTGACAGACTTGACACCTTGAGCTTCAGGCCCGAAACAGACTTGACACCTTAAGCTTCCTCTCTCAGCGAATACGGACTTGATACCATGAAGGGCCCCCAATCATGTGTACCCTCCAGCAGACCTGCTTGCGAGTTGAAGAGCATTCAAGAGCAGACCGCCCTCTACGCGCCTAGGCCTATTAAACTGCGGGCGCGGGGGTGTGAGGTCCCGGTTTTTTGCGACCTCGATACTTTGGTCTAGTGCCACCACCAAATACACGTTCAAACGTCCTCCTTCTTTAAAGAGTGCTCGGGAACAAGTATGTTTATCTTACTGTGTTTAAGTAGGGAGATAATCGAAGACACGTGCTTTCGTTGGGGTCCAGGTATAATTCTGGATCTGTCAGATTCCGAAAGAAGCGCAACTTTTCACTTTTCCCGAATGCTCCGCAGAAGGGTTCCCATTTGAAAGTTGGGGGTCTGGGGGTTGGGAGGTTACCAAACATCGTTGCGTTGTGTCCGCAAAGCGTCCGCAAAGCGTCCGCAAAGCGTCCGCAAAGCGTTCGCGAAGCGTCTGCAAAGCGTTCGCGAAGCGTCCGCGAGTGGCGTAACGCGGCTGAAAAGGGGGAACTGCACAGGACGCGTGTGCCCGCGGCGTTCTCAATCCGTCAGGCTAAGGGGGAACTCCCCGGGACGCGAGTCGCCGTGCGCGGTGTTCCAAATCCGTCAAGCTAAGGGGGAACTCCACGGTGGTGGTGGTGCCGTGGTGGTTGGTCCCGTAGTTGTGGTGGTCCCGTGGTGGTGGTCCCGTGGTGGTGGTCCGTGGTGGTCCCGTGGTGGTGGTCCCGTGGTGGTGGACCCGTGGTGGTGGTCCCGTGGTGGTGGTCCCGTGGTGGTGGTCCCGTGGTGGTGGTCCCGCGGTGGTGGTTTCATGGTACTCCCGTGGCGGTGGTCCCGTGGTGGTGGTCCGTGGCGGTGGTCCCTTAGTGGTGGTCCGTGGCGGTCGTCCGTGGTGGTGTTCCCGTGGCGGTGGTGCGTGGTGGTGGTGCGTGGTGGTGGTCCGTGGTGGTGGTCCGTGATGGTGGTCCGTCCACCCGCCACCGACGTTTCGTTTATATTGCGTTATATTTACGTTAGAGGTGACTGCTTTCTGCATTCGGGTTCATGGATCCTATCAGGTTTTGGGGGTTGGAGAAAAGTGCTGAGAAAGCACACTTTCCATTCAATCACAGAGCTTCAGCTTACAAGAAAACGAGAGAAAGAGCCGCGCTTTGAGAAAGAAGCACAAAAAAGGTAAGAAATTACCACGAAAATGCCACTCTCACTCGCAGAGACGTGTGTCTCTCTCTCTCTCTCTCTCTCTCTCTCTCTTTCTCGCAAAGAGAACTCTCTCTCCTGTCTCACTCTCGCTTGCTCACTTTTGCTCTCAGAACGAGTGTTCGCACGTTCGCACCTCGGAGGCCAAGGCCATGGCGGCCCCAAAGACAGGGAAGGGGGCGGCCTCGAAGACTCTCTGACACTAACCCGACAAAAACCACAAGGAAACTTCAGACTCTCCAATGTAGATTCTCTCCCCCCAAAAAGAAGAGAGAGCTGGATCGCCAAACAGCCGCGCCTCACGTGGACCGCTCCCACGATGCGCGGGGATGGCTCTCTCACTGCCTCTCCATCTGCAGGCGCGCCCACGGCGCGTTGGCAGAGAGTTGGAGTTGGTGTCCCCGAGTGTCCCCCAACCCCCGTGCGATCCTCCCCCTGCCCGTCCGCGTGTGCGTGTGCGTGTGCGTGTGCGTGTGTCTGTGTCTGTGACTTTCTGCGTTTCTCGCGTTCGTGGCTGTTTTGCTCGAAGTAAAGGGGGGGAGGGTCACTGTGGTCAATATCTCTAAGTCAGAAAGTTTGGAGATGTAACGTTTGAGTGACACGCACACTTCTCATGTGGACTCTTTGTATGCGAACTTCAAGTAACCCTGCATTGTCTCTTGTACTGTTCAACCCCTCCGCAGCAGGAGCTTCTCTCCCTCTTGGAGGATTCGAGCCAAGGCAGCGCTCGAAGAGAACAAGCGTTGCAAGGGCACTCTGGGGCAATAGGGGAATGGCTCAATGAAGAAATGGATGCGAAGTTCTGCGCGCACGCCTTGATGCGTTGCGGCCCAGTCTGAACCACAACTATGCAGGACTCACTTTTGTGTCCTCTCACACGACTCACTTTTGTGTCCTCTCACTCCTGCCGCAGCTCACCAAAACCCGCAGTTCTTGCAGCTCCGCTGCTCCGAGTTTGTGCCCTCGCAGGCCGTGCCGGACTGGGAGGCGCGCGCTGCGACGGCGCGGCTCCGAATCTCCTTACCGCCGCAGCTGTCGCACTTGGACCACTCCGCCCAGTCCCCCCATCGGCAGTCCACGCGGCACACGTTTGTGTCACGGGATTTTCCTCCACGGGATTTTCCAACTGCACTGCAGGGCTGGGACTCCACCGCACGCTTTTGGCAATGCTCGCCAAGCGCGGCGATGCCATGGCGAAGCGCCGTCTTGGGAACAGCCATGAGCTCGTCGTGTGTGTCTGGTCCCCGGTACTTCAAGGGAATCCCTTCGCTCGTCCCGCTGTACATGGCCTCGACCACCAGCGAGTGAGTTCCTTTTGCCAGCCAGCGGACCCACTTCGAGCTGTTCACGACGTTCACGGCGTTCATACGTGTGAGGACACGCAAGCCTGCCCCGACCTGCAAAGTGAAGTGGATCCCGTCGTTGACGTCGTGGCTAAGGTCTTGCGGGTCCGCCTGGTTCACCGCCTGGTTCACGTTGGGGAAATTGGGGAAGTTGGGGACGAAGACGTAGCGCCCCGAGCGCCTCACAAGCAGCTCGCCGGACCATCGCAGACCTTGACCTCCAGAGAATGTGGATGCTTCGACTCCGAAAGCATCCCGAGTTCGAATTCTCTGACCTCCACACTGCGTGCAGATGCTCCATGTACTCCAAGGGGCCAGCCCACACTCCAAATCCAGCTCCTGAAGCTCCTGAAGCTCTTGAAGCTCCTGAAGCTCCTGCTCCTCCTCGAAGGATGTGAAGATGGGGTGACGGGCACGGTAACCCCGGTAGGCCGGCCGCATACTTTGCACCTTGGTGTCTCTTGTGTCCTTGTGCGAGCGCATGAGGGGTTGGCGCTTCGGCTCAGTCGCGGGGTTCCTTCGCATCACTGGCTCCGCATAGGCCGCATAGGCCCCCAAAAGCAAGAAGAAGCCGATAATGTGCAGCATGCGCACGACCATACGTCGAATACGTAGAGAAGCTGAGCAAACAACCCCCAAGGGCCTTCAAGGGCCTTCAAGGGCCCATGGCCAAAGATAGCTTTGAGCAGAGAGCTCTCGAAGTCGTGAATGCCAGCAGAGATAGTGCTAGAGTTGCTAGAGTGCCAATGAGTGCCAGAGCTAGGACACCGCATGTCGAAGGCTGAAGGGCGCAAAGAATCATGATAATCATGGAAAAGGCGCGGAAGGCACGTCACATTTTCGTGCACGTAACACTTAACGGACTTAACGGACTTAACGTGCCATGGCACCCATCACCTTTGTCTGGGCAGAGCATGGCAAAGCTGTGACACGGCTTGTGCAAAGCCACAGCAAAGACATGCAAAGATATAGTAAAGTCAGATTAAAGCTCTCTGACTGAAAGCGCGCCCCGAGTACTCCGAGTAGAACCGTGCGAGGACCCAAGTCAGGCACCTCGCACAGCTTCGTGGCAAAAGACCCAGACACACACCCACAGACACGTTCTGCCTCCTCTCTTTCTCTCTGCCATTCTCTTTTCCATTCTTGTCCTTTCTCTTCCGCTTCTCTTCCGCTTCCGCTTCTCACTACTGATGCCTCTCTTCCCTTCACTCGGCTTCCCGGCAGGAGGTAGCTGGCGAAGAGCAGGAAACTTACCGACAGCCGTCCTCCCCGGCTCAATCCTCGCCCCAAGAGCCTCTGAGACAAGATGTATGTACCCTCCCAGCATCTGACATTTTACCAAGAATTCGATCCGAATGCATCACGAGCGCAGAGCCCCCAGCAGGAGTGCCAGCAGGTACAGCAGCTGGGCACCCTCGACGGAGAAAGAGAGACAGAGAGAGCGAGAACCCTGGAGTAACCTGCAGCTGGGCAACCTCGACGAAGAAAGAGAGAGACAGAGAGGAAGAGAGAGAGAGAGAGAGAGCCCTGGAGTAACCCCTGCTGCTCCCCACAAGGGCCCCTTTGTTTCGCAGGCTGAAAAGGGACCACAAGCACCACCAGGTACTCGAAGCGAAGGAAGTCCGCCTCCTGCAAGCTCATAAATTGTGCACTCTTTTCTGTGCGCAAAGCACACGGGGCGCCTTCTTGGTACGCAGCAGGGCCCCGGCAAGCAGCAGTGAACACACACTGCTCGGAAGATTCGGAACCTCACACATGACTCAAGCCGGACAAGTCTACGCCGACACCAGCTCCATCAGCTCCCGTGAATGGCATCCGATCCGACTTGAGCCTCCACGTTCTCCACGTTGTTCAAGCCTTTGGAAGTGCAAACAAAGTGCAAGCAAAGTGCAAGCGCAAAGTGTGCCAACAACAAACAGGAAAAAAGAAAGCCTGAAAGCAGGCTTCTGCATGCTTCTGCCGAGCCGCACTTGGCGGCTCTCGCTGCATCCAGCAGTCGAGGCATGCGGAGTCCAGCCGCAAGAACCTCGATTCGCCCAGCAACAAAAGTGTAAAGAAAGCGTTAGAAGTTTTAGGTTCGACTGGCATTTTTTCAGTTTTTCCACCAGTAAAGCTTAACAAATTCGCCTCGCAGGCGGGAGCCGTCCAGAACAAGCCAAGATCTGGTTTCCTTCCCCCGTTCCAGCATCTTCCCTTCCCCCCGGCCCCAAAAATAGGCAAAAGGAGGCGTGTCCGTTTCGCCACCCTCTGGGGCGTGTATCACGGCGGGTTCTGGGTCGTACCCTGTATCCTGCGTCCTGCCTCTTTCGTTTCCTCTTCTCGCCTCCTGCTTCATTCCAAAGTCATTTCTGTCACCTTATTCATTCTAGCAGTTCTCGCGTGTTCTCCTTCTTTTCATCCCTTGTCCTCTTTCTTTATCGTGGACCTCGTCGCCTTCTTCGTTTTCCTCCCCGTGTTTCATTTCAAAAGTATTCATCCCTTGTCGATGTTCTTCATTATCTCCCCTTTCGCCGTTTCCATAATTAAGAAAATCGTCTCTTCTGTTTTCTGGGGCGTCTCCACCTCTTCCGATTCTTTAACGAAACCCCGAACAATCAAACTTCTAAGATCATCGCCTTATTCGAAGTTCCTTGCTCGCATCCAAATCCTTCACCCCAAAGCAAGAAACTCAAGAGCAAACAACAAAGAAAATTGACGTCAGCCAGAAGGGCGGGAAGCGTAGCGGGCGGGCAAACCATAGGGACTATTTAACAATCATGTTGTATTGCAATATGATGGTTTTATCCTTCTAATTCACGAATAATAAACTTCACCATTTGCTTGTTCCCCACCCTCGGTGTGGGGTTGTTAGATTTTGGACTCAACTCTTCTCCTCGCCCGGCCTACTCCTCGCTCATCCCTGGAGTGCCCAACCCCCAAGTGTCCCTGTACCTGCTGTACCTGGAGTGCCCAACTCCACAGTGTCCCTGGCCAGAACTTGGAGAGGGTCCCCGGCTTGCCCAGCCCCAAAGTCTCTTGGAGTGCCCAACCCCACAGTCTTATTGGAGTGCCCAAGCCCAGAGTGTCCCCGGAGTGCCCAGCGCCACGCCGCGAGCCCCGTCGCGTCGACACCGACAACGCCGTACATCCAGAGCGACTCAATGGAGAATTCGGCAGGAATTTGCAGTGGCAGTGGTGAAGCTTGCTCTGAGGAACGAACAAGAACTGCAGGTGATAAAGCAAGATTACAGTCTTGTGGTTTGGCTCAGGTCGGGGGAACACACGGCGCTCACCACCATGTATACAACAGCAAAGAACTGGAAAGACAAGGCTGTGCTAGGACTCACGCCATGCCTCAACTCAAGACCACAATGGCGGCAGCACTGGTGCACGAAGTGTTGGAGCGAAAACCAAACGGACACCGAAAAGGCCCCAAGAAAATACAAGAGATGGGCTGGCGAGATCCGACTTTGGGATGGAGAGATTGCAATGGTGGTGGAAGATTCGGAGAGGCCACCAATCAAGGACCTGGACTTGCTTCAGCAGCTTCAGCAGCTTCAGCAGCTTCAGCAGCTTCAGGACCTCAAACAAAACCTTTTGGGAGACACAGTCATGAGATGTCATTCAAAAAGGCCATTGACAGCGGAAATGCAGGGCATGGCGACGTTCTTACTCGAAATCAATGCGCGCACAGCAAACTCGGACAGGGTGTCGAAACTTCTACATGCTCTACAGGGCAATGCGGTGTGGCAGGTGGTAGCAGCTCAGTACTGACGCGAGGGCTGGAAGAAATCTCCGCAATACCAAGCAGTTCAAAGCTACATGAAATTGCCTAGACTTATGCTTGTCAACAATGGCAACATGTGTTACGGTCATGAGCTTGTTCATGTACTTACCTGGTGCGCTGCTTTTTGTCCGAGATCTCATACTCTGTTATCCAGCGCGGTGTACAGCTGCGTCATATTAGGGCTTGGACCCTTCTCATACACCTTTGAATTTTATTCCTATTTGAGCGATCGTAAGCAGGGGCCTTGGCTTCATGGGGTCTGGCAGGCGCGCAGGCTAGAGGACCATTGCCGTCTTTGTATTACTCGGGAGACGTAGGCCATCAGGCTCTTTGGAGCTGGATTCGAAGACGCTACAGGGCGTCGTGACCCTGAACTTCAAATATTCAACAACTAATTTCGTCGTGGGAGCAACAATCTGCCACACATGCTTTTATTGAGATTCCACATGATCTCACCTTGAGGATAGAAAGACTCTGCTCTGGGGATGAGAGAGAGATCTTCTGTAAACACCACGTGAGGTGCGTTTATGAGGATGGCTGCTCGTGCCATTCTTCACGGAAGAAGGCTTGTGTACACGTTACCATGCTGTTAAGATCATGGGTGGTATTACCCACCTTGGAGAAACATATCAACCTGTACGATCCTCAGCAGGATGCTGGGCTCTTCGGAGCGGTTCTGCTTTTGTGATACACTGAGGTTATGCTCATAAGTAGCATAATGTGCCTTTCATGTACCGGACTCTAGGTCTGCTCTTTCCTGCCGCTAGGCGGTAGATACCTTGCACCGCTGCGTCCAAAGAAAAAGCCCCCAGAGTCTCCCTGCAGTGCCCAACCCAGAGTTGTTTTGGGAGTGCCCAACCCCGGACTTATATGTCTGACAGCACTGCAATCTCTAACACCGAAAGAGCATGGCGCCTTTTGCTCTAAAGAAAGTCTTGGCTCTCGGCCGCTCGAGAGGTAACAGTTCGGAGAAGCTCGTTCACTGAAAGCGCTCAAGTCCAATGGCGCTAAGCACGATCTTTCACACTGGTCTTACTTTCTTTTTGGACTTGATCAGTGAGTTGAAGCTTCGGGTCCCTAAGGAACTTGTTCAAAATCTCAGTCAGCTTCCAATCTAGCTTCGTGAGACCATCGGCTGCCATAAGGCTTGTTGGCACCCACCGAAAGTCTTCAGGCTTCACACACTGCTGTATGCTCCTGATATTTATCAGAGAGCGTTTGTCGCTGACTCCAGGATTTTCAGCTATCACAGTGTCATACAAACTCTTGGCATCTGTTACTTGAACATTCGGGAAAACAGGTGGTGCCTTGAGTGCTTGATGTCCTGTGAAAAGCTCACTCAAGCAGAGGTTCGCGAAGCCTGCTCTGTCAGAGCCCTCGTCTGCAGCACTTGCCTCGGCTGCCAGCGTTGACCTACAAACTCTTGCCGACCTTGCCGACTTCCAGTCCACTAGCGTCCCTTTCGTGATCACGGCGGTCACGCGGACCTGGCTCAGGAAGACAAGGACGCCGTACTGCGATTTGAGCTCGGCGTTAGCAAAGCTGGAGTCGGTGTAGGTCACGAAGCAGCTGTCCTTATTCAGGGCGATGTCCTGGTAAACTAAACCATCTCGAGGAGTGGCTTTTAAGAACTCCACCGCTTCGTAGAGTCGCTGGAGGTCCTTGTAGTCGGTAGCCTTTCCCCGGTTACTCAACGAAACCAAGGGTCCGATTTCTGGCCTTGTCTGGCCGGCAATCCACTGCAGGCTGCCGCTGACGCTGCGAAAGTCTGCCCATTCACTGGGCGTCAAGTTTGCAGCTTGCGAGCGATCTTGCCTCCTTCCATGCCCTCGATGAACTCGGACTGAGTCACCAAGTACTTGAAGCGGCTGCCTTCTTGGTGAAGCCGTATCTCCTTTCCACGGTACACGGCGTGCTCCTCGGTCGTCACCTTGGTGATGCTGCCCCACACGAACATGTTCTCCAACAGGTGCAGTGGGAAGCTCTCGCTGTACGTCGCGAGGAAGTCGTCGACGTGGATGATCACCACTGCTTGGAGCTTGTTGCCGTCGCCGACGTAGTAGTACAAGCATCTGTCGAACGAATGCCGCTTGAAGCCGCGCTCGAGCATGGTCTTGTGCACTCGCAGGTACCAAACTCTTGGCGCGTTGGGCAATCCATAGCAGTTGCCTGTCACAAGGTAAAGCTCGGCTGGGAAGCTGCCGGTGGCCTCGATCAAAGGGTCCCTTGGGGGCCGCATGTACAATGGGCCGTTGCGCTCTGAAGCATCTTGATCTCCTTGAAGAAATGCCGATTTGGCATCTGACGCCCACAAGTGCCAGCGTTCACCAGTGTAGTTGTACTCCTTGTTGATGCCGGCCGCGGCTATTGTCATAAGCAGCGATTCCGAGAGTCTTGTCGGAGTTGGTGAATCCCGGGTTATCTGGAACAAATCCGGGTCAGCACAGCCTATGATGACCACACGGCACTTGGGTCTCAAGGGACCTATGCCTTTCGACTTGTCCCGGTAGGCTGCCCGCGACTTGAGTATGCGGTGGGACAGCTTCGCGTCGCCCAGGATGCGCTTGGCCTCCCGGTGGGATATTGGTTGAATCCCGCCCCACGACATCCAGTTGTCGTTCTCGACACGAGTGGCCTCGAGGTAGGCGTCCAGCTGAGGCTTCGGGAGAATTGTCAGCTGTCTCCAGGGAATTTCTCGGTCAAGTTGTTTAAGCTCTTTTCGGCTGTGGGTCCTGGAGTTTGATGTGCTCATCGAGTTGTCGTCCGAGGACTCGTCGCTCCTTTCGGGCTCCTCGGTCACGCCGGCCTCGTTCATCTCCTTCTTGCGGACGCCGCTGTTCAGGTAGCACTTGTAAAAGTAGTTCCGCTTGAAGGGAATGTTGTTGTAGCCGCCGTCGTCTTGGTAGTCCCGGAGCGTCACCTCGCCGTTGTCGTGGTAGTTGAAGTTCAGCGGCCTGCTCGTCACAAGAACTGCCGCCGGCTTCTGAGGTAGAGTGGGTAGCTCTTCCTCGGGCGTTTCCATGGCCTGCACTTGAGCTGGCCGAGTGGAAGCTGACGCTTGCTCAGCAAGGTTTGGCTGAGTCTCCTGTGCATCTGTGTCGTTAGCATCGTGGTGCTCGTTGTGCGTGACGTGTCCACCTGGTTCAAGTGGAGGTTGTCGCAGCGGAAGCGACGTGTAGTCTGGAGTCCCAGGCGCTGCGTTCAAAGGTGTAGCGGGCAGTCCTGGGCTCAAGGCTGGAGAGGCGTACTGGGCGCTGTCG